GCTTAGAGAGAGGTGTTGTGCATGCATGTTATCATCCTCAGTTATGGCCTAGCTGAGTGCTCTCGTCGCAGTAAATTCTTCTACCTAATGAGGTCCTTACTTCAGAGGAAGCTTGGCCTTGTTGCATTACATGTATGGTTGTTAGCCTTGGCTCTAAACTGGCTCTTCTTTTCAGCATCAAAACCCAGTTTAATTTTTAGACTTGCAAAATATTCATAGAAACCATATATATTTCTATTTTTCTCAAACTGCAGAATTTTTTACCTATAGTAAGTGCTTTGTAAGTTTGATTTCCCATCTCTCTTCTAGCCCTGCTTTTCCTCCTTTTCTTCTACTCCTATGGCTCCCTGTATCCCAGGTACTAAAGGAGGGTGGAACATAACTGCTTAATTGCAGTGGGATGCTGCCCTTGCACATCAGAGCAGAAATGTGTGCGTGTGGGAGCTGCAGATATGGGAATGAAGAGAGGACAGAGAGATCACGGCTGTCCTTCCACGGTCCCTTAATCTTCCTCACCATGTTGTGAAACCCCTTTGGCTCTTCCTTGTTCCTCTCCATAACTCCTCTGCCAATGAGACAAAATTGCATTTTCTCTTCATGGCTGAGAGGCTTTGAGCAGGCTCTGCTGCATTGTGCAGCAGTGTATCTTGACTAAATGCGTTATACCTCACAAAACATCATACGTTTTCACTCACTATTGCAGATATCCCAAATAAAGTCCCTATGTGCCTGGGTTCTGCTGGCAGAGCCATTGCAGAGTCCCCTTAAAACTCTTGTGTCACTCATATGATCTGGAGACTTGTGTGAGCAGCGTGCTTTTTTTGGTATTTTTCAGAAATGCCTTTTCCCTGATTCCAGCAATATTTGGGATCAAGTCATTAGCTTTGGTGTGGCTGGTAGGGAAGGAAAGTCAAGTGAGAACAGTTCCATTTTGTGTGGCTGTTTGTGGTGTGAGCTGACAAGCCTTGCTTTAGTCCTAGAGAGCAGCCATCCACATCATACAGATGGTTGTTGCAGTTGGCATTGACTGAAGTGCATGGATTGCTCTTTGTATTTAGCCACCTCAAATGCAAAAAAACCCCACTCCTATTTGTGGACAGAGTCCATGCTTTCAGTGTCTCTTGGCTCTCCATGAAAAACAGATGGCACTTTAGGTTTTCACAATGTCAGTCCCTGAGTATCTGAAAAACTGAGCTGCCACACGGGGAGGCAGAGGTGACCTGAGTACCTGTCATGGGGCAGCCCAGCATGGCATATCTCAGCACATCTCCTGCCCATCCAGGACCAGCGTGGAGGTTCTCTGCTTTAGCCAGCCTAGGTGTCCACACTGTGATGTCTCCAGCCCATACCCCTCAAAGACAGGGAAAATAGGGATAGCCAGGCTGCCCCAGCTCATGCGCTTCTTTTCCTTCCAACGCAAACAAATCCTGCATCCATAGCATGGAAACACAGATACAGTCCTGAACCTGCCATCCAAACATTTCTATCATGTCTCTGGCTGTGCCTTACAGTCTCTGCTCATCTAAGTGTGTTGCTCTGCACCCTGTTCCCTTTAAACAGGGTTTAAGTGTTTTGCTTTGGAGGGGAGTGATGTGGTACCTGCAGGGCTGGGCTCATGCTGCTCTGTCTATTCCTGAACTGCATAGTGACAAAGTCTGGTCAGTCGTGCTCATCCTGCCAGTGCTGCACCTACCAGGAGTACTGAAAAATGGCATGAAATGCTGCAATATGGATTTGTGGTGTCCATGCTCTGATTGTTTACCTGAATTCTCCCTCAAGTTTTCAGAAGATAGGAAAGTTAGGAGCCAGACCGGCTGTTTCATTATCTGCTTCCAGCAGGGGGAGATGGGTCCAGAGAGTTATTTCTTCTGGGAGCACATATAAAAATAACATTATTTATTTTACTCATGAGGCACTCTCCTAGGATTTGTGTGATTCCTGCTTGTTTGGCCTTTTACACTTATGCAACCCCTTCCTTTTGCTTCTGTACACTTCAAAAAACAAATAAGACCTATCCATTTCACATTTTCTTTTTGTTTTATTTTTCACAAGGTTCACAAGACCCTAAAGGGAATTTCTTCCTCATCTCTCTGGTTGTTGCTGTTATTATTATTATTACTATTATTATTATTATTATTATTATTATTATTATTATTATACGCTGCAGTAGTTCTAATAAGTTCTAATAAATGTGTAAGAAGATTAAGTCATCTGCTGGATCAGCAGAGAGGGGCCGCTGAGCCCTCTGTGATGCACCTCTCTTAGTAGGGGGCATGGCCACATGCAGTCTCACCTTGAATCAGGATCTTAGTGGAGCCTGGAGACAGGATTTCTTTCTTCTCCCTCCCTGAAACCCCTCTGTCGTTCTCTGTGTAAAACATATTGGTGCCACTTTCTATGAACTATATTTAACTAAGCATTAAATTTAGATTTAACTGGATAGTTATTGCCTCCTAAGTAAATACTCTGAGATAAGGAAATATTTAGTGAGCTCTAGCAGTTGGGTGGCAGATGCTTCTTGCATTGCATAATAGTTAATCTTCGACAAATATGTTTTCCTTACTCCACGGGCATTTAATTAACACACAATAGCTCTTATTAAATGTAGATGAAACATATTTGGGAGACCCTTGTAAAAAGGATCCATGCAGCACTGGCTTGCGAGAGAGGTGCATTTCTTTCATTGCTAACTTCATATGGGACCAGGTCTTGTAGCTGTACTCAAAGTCTGTCACGGGGAGTGCAGAGGTTGCCCCTTGGTGATGTCCCTCTTCAGGCAGGCCAGCAGCCTGATGTACCCCTGTGCCTTGCATTCTCCATCCTTGAGTGATGGTTACTAGTCAGCAATCAGGTGTCAGCAGCATGGTATTCTCCAGAGGATTATCCTTGTGAGGTGGTATATCTGCAATACCTTGGGTACATCTAGTGTATGGATTAACCCCTTTAGCTCCTCATTCCTCTCCCCCTCTGGTGCTATCCATGCCAAGTCTACTGCAGAGGAACCGTCTGACTTGCCTCGCTCCTTGGCTTGAATACAAAGCAGTCATCTCTTCTTGCTGCTGCGTGCATGGCACTGGAGCAGCAGTGTCATGACCTTAGTCCCTAATTTATGGGTCTTTAACACTTGCAGGGATTGTTTAAGTAGTCAGACAGTGCAGCCTTTCCATACCAAGGCTGCAGGGGCCAGTTTCTAGGAGTTCAGAAAGCAACTGGATGTGCTCCTGGAAGAAGAAAATCATTCAAGTGCCATTAACTACAAAGGCACTGCCACTGGCTGGGGACATGCCTTAGCCATAAATCACTAGAAATAGATAAGTGCCCCGGGGCAGTACCACTGCATGCTTGCCTTGTGCTTGGGAGCTTCACCAGGCATTGGCTTTAGGCTGCTTAGAGAAAGCAGGAAAGGTTAGAGGGTCCTTTGATCTGGTCCCACACGGCCATTTCTGTGACATTCCTTATGTCTCTCCAGTTTGAGCGCACTGTGTCCCACAAGGCTGCAGGAGCAGAGGCAAAACAGGCTTCATACAAGACCTGGGGTTTTTTTCCCTTCCTGCACATGTACCAGCGCTGTAACCACACAGGACAGCAACTCTCAGCCGAGTAACCCCATGGCTTTTCTTGCACCTGATTCTCTGGACCCCTCTTAGACCTCCCCTTCCCTCTTTGCTTCCCGTCCCAGCCCCGCCGTGCTTTGGTCGCAGAAGGGTTACACGAGCGAAGCATCCCTAGGAGCAGCTCTGATCCCTCCCGCAGGCACGGATCGGGCTGGTGGAATGGCAGGCGGGCATCAGCAATAAAACATTGGGCTTATTCCTTTCCATTAATTTAATCTCGCTTCTGTTTGCGGCGGGCTGCGGGCTGCGGGCGCGTTCCCGGGTGGGCAGCGCTGCTGCCGGCGGGGCTCAGCTGCGGGCTCTGGCAGCGGCAGCACAGGCCGAGCATTCACACCGCGGGCAGCTCAATGCCGGCATTGTCTCCGCTCCGGCGCTCCGAGGCTGGGAAAGGGGGTGGGGGGCGGGAAGGGCTGAGTGAAGAGAGGTGGGAGGGAGGGATGTACAACTGGTTATCTGGCGAGAGAAAAGTCTGAGAGGGGAAGAAGCATGGTCTGAGGCTGCAGAGGCAGTTGCCAAGGATGCCGCTCTGTAAATCAGCTAGCGTGTGGCTTCAGGCCGCTAAGCCAAGTTGTTTGCACTTTTGGCCACAGACCCTCTTTTCTCACTATTTCATCTTGAGAAAATTGGCCGTGCCTTCCTCCGTCCTCTGTGCCCTACTACCCGGAGCAGCCTCCCGCCCTCTCAGCAGCTCCCGGCTGCTCCTGCCCTCTCTCTGCTCCCCGCTCCACTTCCCCGCTCCCCTTCTCTTCCTTTCTCCAGCCCCCTCTTCTTCTCCCATGCCCTTCCCTCTCTTCCTCTCCCTCCTCCCCTCTCCTTCAGGGCTCACCCCCTCTGCCTTGCAGCCCCCATGCCTTTCCAAGCCCCTCTCCCCGCTGCAGTGCCCCCTCCCCTCCCCGGCCGCCGTTCCGTGTCCCCCCGGGCATCCCCGGTGCGCGGTGCGGGCCCCGGGCGGCCGCGCCCCCGGGAGAGGGATGGGGAGCGCGGCCCGCGGCTCCTTCCGCGCCCGCCGCCGCCGCTGTGGTGCCGAGCTGCCGTCTCACGAGCAGGGCTCCCTCCTCCCTCTCTCCCTCTCTCCTCCTCCTCCTCCTCCTCCCTCCCTCGCTCCGCCTGGGAAAGTGGGTTAGGAGGGAGCGCGGGGCTGGAGGCTGCACAGCCACAGGACTATCCCCTCCCGCATCCCGGTGGCACAGGATTCCTCTTGTTCCTTTTTTTTTTTTTTTTTTTTTTTTTCCCCACCACTCTTCATCACTCTAAACGGGTCGATTTAATTGTTATTATTCCGTAGTTATTTTGCTACCTGACTTTTTCGTCTTGCTTCTTTTTTCCCCCCTTTTTTATTTGAAGGATCTGCCAAGACTTTTTTTTTTCCTCTTTTTTTGGAGAGCCTTAAAAAAAAAAAGGCAAGGAAAGGAAAGAAGCCAGCAAGAGACTGAAAAGAGCAAGAGAAAGTGGCAGCTGAGAAGGACTGTGAAATCACCTCCCCTTTCTTGGACTGTCGATCATAGCGAGAGTTGTACATTATTATTATTATTGTTTTTCTTTCTGCCTCTATCTGTCCACATACGCAGGCAGAGAAAGAGACAAGTACTGACAGTGAAACTCGACGAGACCAGCCATGGTAGCAAGGGCTCAGCCTGATCGGAAACAATTACCGCTGGTCCTACTGAGATTGCTTTGCCTTCTCCCTACAGGGCTGCCAGTCCGCAGCGTGGATTTTACCCGAGGGACCGATAACATCACCGTGAGGCAAGGGGACACAGCCATCCTCAGGTAGGGCATTTTGCCAACTTTTCCTCTCCTGTGTGTGCATCTATATTGCCATGTATGCAACGTGTACGTGTGACGTGGTCCAGATTTTTGTGTATAAGTCTCTGTGAGATTGTGTGTTATTTTACCTCTCAAACTGCAGTAGCAGCAGCTGCTACAAACAGGCTCTGCATGTGTGTTTGTGCTTTAATACGAAAAAATTGCAAAGCTTTTGAACACTTCTTGCCACACTATCCTCTGTGTAGTGCCCTGGATCGAAAGAATTTCAGTGGGGAAAGATTGCTTGTGTTAGCCAGCTCTTGGGAGTGTGCACTTTCCACCAGCCCTGCAGTATCAATAGAGGAATCGAAAAGGGATCCAGCTGTGCTTGCCAGATGTTACATTGATCTTCCCATGCTTCTTTTTGTACATATGCAAAAACTTTATCCTTGGTGCTGCCAGAACTCTCAGGCAAGTTCTTTTGGGAAACTCTTGTCCTTTAATTTTATTTATTTATTTTTCTGCCCTGTGGGGAGGGAAGATGGATACAATAGTTGAACAGGCTGGTGAAAAAATGGTGTAGCAGCTCTGGCTGCTACAATTTACGAAGATTGCATCTTTGTGTGTTGGGGTTTTTTTTCAGGGCGAAATAAATGGGTGTATGCTGTGCCTGTGTGTCTGGTTGTGATGAGGATGTCTTTGCACACGAAACCTTGCTTACTGGCAGTATTGAGTGTATTTCTGGTTTCATTGTGCAGGTTTTCCAAAGGTACTTCTGGCACTACTTGGGCTTTCAGTTAGGAGTGTCCCAAATAGCTTAACTGCAGTAGTCTTTTTCCTGTAGGTTTTTTTTCTCAAATTCTGCCTTGCTCAACTTACCTGCAGTAACTCCCCTATTGAAGGAAAATTCTGTGTGTGTGAGTGTGCACACTGTGTATTATGGCTGTAAAACTACTGGGTGTAATTTAAAATAAGTCTGTGATCTGTGTGAGGAGCTGATAGTGCACAAACCCTGAAACATCAAGGGAGCAATCCCCTAGTAAAGCTAACAGCAGCAGCAGCAAAGTTTTCTTTCTCTTTCTGTGAAATAAATCCTGCTGGATGTCACCAAACACTCTGCTACACGATCCCCTGTGTCCTGCATCCCTCCCATTTAATGATAGAGGGAAGAAGGATGCTGGAAGAGGGATGTGAGTGTGTGTGTGTGTGTATGTGTGTGTGTGTGTGTATACATATCGCTTTGGTCGCCTCCCATGTCCTCGGTTGTTTTGATTCCATGCTGAATGGAATATCCATTCAGCAGCTTCCATTCCCCAGCTCTCCAGACTTGTTAACTTGAATGTAAGATTTATCCACACAGAGTAATAGGATTTACAGAGTAATTCATCTGCCTTGCATATGCAGTGGAAGCGGTTTAGATTCGACATGGTAAACACCTAACAAGGGGTGTTGCCTCTGACTCCAGCTTCTCTACTCTCTCTTCCACTCACTACCAATCCATATATCCCATTAACCCTTTTCTAGCAGGACTCCTAGCTAACTTATCCCATTTTTAAAGGCAAATCACTTCCATCAATCATTTATTTTGGAGGGGCTGCTCAGACAGATGTTTGCCAGCATGTTTGGTACATGCAGCAGCAGACAAGTCATTAAGCTCGCTTGCCCAGACAGGGGTCACTAGATTTCTATTTCCCACTTAACCTTGGAGCTTTTCAGTTTATCTAGATGCTGTGTGCTAAAGCTGAATTTGCAGCTGAGAGGGCTGAGCGGATGGAGGAGATGGTGCCTGCAAGGGCTGCGTGTGAAGCGTTCCTTCATCAGCGAGCTCCACGGGGCTGCATGGGAGACTGCTTTCTGTGATTGCGTGTGGCTTGCCAGTGTTATGTCAGGCACTAAAATAAAACACCTGAGTGAAGGGATCCAGCTGTGTCAGCCAGATGTGTGCCAAGTGACACAGTCTGCAGGAGCAGCACGCCACCCGGCCATGTAAATGCTTGCCCCGGGCAATACTGTGTTCCTGGCTGGCTGCATTTCTGTCACAAGTGACTGTGGCCAGTGCACAGGCTGTACCTTTTCCTTCAGCTGCCTTCCTAAGTCCTTTAAGCAGATTTGGCCAGCTATATGCTTTTCACATTTCCTAGGAAGGGCAGCTGTCTCCCTTTCCCTGGGACCAGACCCAGGTCTCTGGGATATTTCAGTTCCTCCTTCAGACAAGAAGCAGAAACCAGGCAGTACTTGGAGACAGACTGCCACATGAAGCTTGAAGGTGTGAGATTTCCCTATGTCCCACGGACTTTAGGTCCTGCAGGACACATTTCATGTCCTCAGTTTTAAAGCAAAGATTTGTTTGCTAGCTTCCCCCTCACTGTTTTGTCAACCTCCAAAACATCACTCACTTTAAGACAGCCTTGTTTTGAAAAACTCCCAGTGCCTCACTCTCCCTGTCTATAGATCCACTGTGACAACAGAAGGAAAAGAGCTAGATGGGGAAAAATAAAAACTCCATTAGATGATCTATACTAACTGTGTTCAAAGCAGAACTTTATGTCCACAGATAGATAGGTAAGAGTTTTCTATGCATGGATCATATCACCTATCTTGGCTAAACATCTGCTTCAGAGGAACTGTGCAGCATCAGTTTACCAGTGCCCAGTAGCTCCTGTAGATTCAAGGGAAATGATCATGTAGGAGGGAGAAAAAATGATACACAGTTGGAGAGAAATAAAAGCAATATACATAGTGATAAGACAACTAAAAACATTTTGTTCCTGGAAATTGTGATGCAAATCATTCAGCAAATCACCAAGGACAGGATATTCTAAATGAGTCTTCCTCTTGGGGCCTTATACATTTGTATATAGGGTTACACTTGTGGGTGGAAGAATGGGTGGGTGGGCTGATCTATGAAGTGGAGAAAAATAGTTTATTATAAGCCCTAATGTTCCTAAAGGAAACCAGTCCTCTGAAGCTTCATCTGCAGCTTGTTACTCAGAATAGAATTATTCTGAAAAGTTTGGAGATGACTTTTTAAAGCTGTAGCATTTAAAATATTCCCTCAGTCCAGGACTATTAAAAAATGTCCCTAACTCTAAACTGGCTCATCTCCTAAATGACCTGGCAGCAGATTTGATTCATGTGTCGGCCTTGCTGAAGGTTGGTGACTCTTAGTGAGTATTTGGCATGGGGAAGTTAGGGAATTGCAGAGAGAATAAAAATAGCTCATTATAGGCTATTCGCAGGGAAAAGGGTAATTGTCTGCTCCTTGGAGCAAGGCAGAAAAGAGAGGAGGGCTCTGAGAGCTGCAACAGGTGAGAAGGGCTGAGCAGAGTTGCTGGTGTTTGTCCAGCTGCAACCAAGAAAAGAGAGTAGGATGTTTTAAAGATAACGCTGTATATTGACGAGCCTGTCAGACTTACTAAGGTTTCATTTTTTTAACTCTGTCTTCAGCAAGTGAAGAAGGACACTGAACCTTATTTTGAGTATTGAGAGGGAACTTTGGCTACAGTTCCTGCCAATGTCTGGCTGTCAAGATTACAATCATGAGGCTGTCAGGTTTTGTATGCAACTTCCGTACTTGGTGTTAGGAAAAGAAGAAAATAATATCCAAACAAGAAATGTACAACATATCCCCCAAATTAATTAAAATAAGAAAAGAAAAACAGGCTCCAACCCCAAATCTTCTTGCTGTTTGCCTACCTTCAGCATCCCTTCCCACCTCGTTTGCTGTGCACATTTTGGGTGAGCAAAGGCGGGTACACGTTCAGCCTAAGGCGGGGACAAGGAACACGAGCATGTTGGCTAAGCTGGGACATGTGCAGTGATGAAGGGCAGCTGCTGCAAACTGGGAAGGAAGGGGACTGTGTTTCTGTGTTATGTTTGACCCTCTGGATGGTTTAAAAGCAAAATGGCAGTGAGAAGTCCATGCTATGGGATCAAGTACCTGTACATCATGTTGGGAAAGATCAGCTGCCTCAGAACCACCACAGCAGCTCACCTCAAAGTGCCGTCAAAGAGCTCATCTGAGGGTGTCAGCAGGACTTGCAGGTTGCCCAGGAATTTTGGAAGTTCTGGCACAAGTGCAGATTTAGCCTTTGAAAACTCCTGAAATGGAGCTCATCACCAGCTGGAATCAAAATGGGTCACATCTCCATCCCAATCTGTTCTGTTCTACCAGTACAAATCCAGAAAAGCCCAAGGGCAGAGTCAGAAATATTCCATTTTTCTTTGGGGCAGATTCCCAGGGACTGCAAATGAAGAGGTACAAGTGACTCATACAGGGCATAAGCTTCTGAGCGCTGCTCAGATGATGTTCAGCCTTTGGAGAACTGGGATCTCGCCAAGGCCAGAATTTGGCTCATTGCTCTTGAGTTTTTCCAAGCATCAACTTTTCATCAAGAATTAAAACAATCTCATGCTGATGTGCAGATGAAAACCAACATTTGACTGAGTGTGCATTTTTCATTTTTACCAGGTATTTTAAAATAATGTAAAGTTTCAGGCTGATAGCACATTTAGGAACATCCATCCTAACGGGTACTTAGTTTCTTCAAGTTGCATGTTTCAAAGGATGGGCTAGAATCAAATTACCAGCAGTAATGACAGTACTGTTGGCGTAATCCTGCAATATAAGCAATTTATGCAAACTCTGTTCTTGGCCTCCCAGTATTTTGCTGATATGTTACATGTGGAGCTGTGCTAGAGGACAAAAGCACCTCAGGCGAAATAGCAACACAACATCACAACAAAGTTTATGCCCTATACCGTCATTTTAAAAGAAAAGTAAAAACTGTTCAGATTACACTCACAATTAGCATATGATTTATAACAGGGAGCACTGAGCTGAGCCCTTTGCAAGAAATGAGAATAGGCACGTTCAAACGTATAATGCCACATAATAATACAGTCTTGGCAGTAAAATTGTAACCTTGATTATTAGTGGTATTGTTGTGGCACTTAGAGGCCACCACTGGGTTGAGGCACCCTTTGTATTAAGTGCCACGTGAGCAGAGAGTGAGAGATCCCCT